CACCTGTGGCTCACCAAACAGAAGAAACAGTTGCAGGATGACGATGACGGCGGTACTCCGCACACGGTCGCGTTTCATCGTGTCTCGACGTAGTTGTCGTCCGAGTATAGCAATAATGACACCATTCTGCCGAGTTTGCGGCCGGCGACGAATACGTAAAATATTGCAAAATTAAAACAACGTTACGGTGCGCGCCATGTGTGGATATAGAATAGTAATAATAATAACAAAAGGAGTACTCGGCACACGAATACACGATAATGGCGGGCCTGCAACTGGCAACAGTGAGTGGCAACCGGCAAGCGATTTGACGGTTCTGTACTGTACTACTGTGGTGATGTCGAGGTGGTCGCCGGTCGGTGGTGGTTGGTGGGATGGTGTGACGGGTAGAGAGGTGACCACGTGTGTGGTCTCGGCGTCTCGCTGCCGGCCCGCCACAGAATACAGATTACAGAATACAGATCCATACAAGTGTCCGAGGTGTCGACGGTCGAGGTTTTATTATTATATTCCATTTGTGTTTTACCTCTGTGGCTCTGTGGACAATTGGACATTGAACACCGCGGTTCAGGGTTTCATGTCTCCATGACAGTGRTGCGGCGCGGATGCAAAAAATATTACTCGGCCAAGTATTATATATTATGTTTTGGCTTTATGGCTACAGAATATAACACATTAACAATGGCGTATACTTGTACCTATGGGCTATGAGTACCCTTTTTAGTTTTTGTAATTAATATTTATTAGTTATTAGGTATTATATTATTACGGACGTGTAGTGTAACTGTGTACTATGTAGGTACCTAATACSGCAATACCCATTACCCATGTAATTATTTGAGTATTTTAAGATATACAAACAACAATTTACAATTTTGAAAATAATCATAACTCMCTTTAAAAYAAAAATATAATAAAAAGCCTYTGTGATAACCTAGATAATAATGTTACCTTTTATTTTTATGAGAGGTCAATTCACTCTAAATTTTAAACCAAGTGGAGAGACTTTAAACAGAGCTAATACTAAATTATTGGAACTGCTGAAGTGCAGAGCGCTGAGTATAAAATTTGATAATCGTACGGAAACAATAACACATGCGGGTGTGGCGTCCTCTTAAGAGGATAGCGCACCCGCTACCCGCATGTGTTGACTAGTGTTGTCTCCGTCTTCCACACATACAACAGTACCCAATTTCCGTTCGCTTATTTCAATAGGGTGCTATCAGTAATGATATTATAGTGAACCTAGCATAAAACTTTTATGTAAGAAACTAAGTAAGAACATTATTTTTTGTTCTCTCCATCTGTTTTTTAAGATATTTTAATTTTTAAGTGAGATGTGATCATTTAAAAATATTTATATTTTACATATTCATAACTCGCTTAAAAATTAAAATATAGTAAAAATAAATCGAGAAAACAGARAACATTGATAATGCTCTTACCTTTATATGTATATTTATTTATAAAATATTCAATTTCGTTAAATTAGTGAAGAAAAAAAATGAGAWATGAAACATGGGCTTCCGCAGGCAGATACATTTCAAGAAGAAAAAAAATATTTAGAAAAAATTATACATTATAA